TCAAGCCGCAACGCCCGCCCTGTTTCGACCCGAGCCAGCGTGGAGGTCCGACGGTTCAATCGTGGGTTTTCACGATGAACGTCTTCTTCGACGCGAATTACGTCGAGTCGGACGCAGCGAAGATTCGGTATGTCGTTTCGCTGTTAAGGGGCCCCGCCATGGACTGGTGGCGAGTCATCGTGACGTCGCCACGCGCCTACGAGCCACCGTCGCAAGAGGAAGGGCCCACGGGTCCAGCTGTCACTTGGAGTTCATTCTGCGAGACCGCCCAATACAGCACGTGGGATGCGTGGTGCGCAGGGCTTCGGGCGCGCTTCGAGCCGATCGCGGCTTCTATTTCGGCGCGTCAGAGATTGCGCACTTGGCGGCAGCTCGGGTCGGTTCAATATTACACGAGCGGTTTTCTCGCACTTTGCGAGCAGGTCGGCTACATGCACGAAGCGGAGCGGGTGGACCGTTACGTCGGAGGGCTGAAGCCGGATATCTCGCACGAAATCATGCTGCGCGGACTCTCAAACTTCAACGAGATTCTCGCGCTCGCCGAGAAAATCGACATTCTACGCCGACCGAGACTGGGGTCCTACTACGGACATCGTCCTCGGGGACCGATCGAGCACGCCACTGTAAACGCTGTTGCAACGAATGCAGCTGCCGCACCGTTTAAGGGGCGCTGCTTTGCTTGCAACAGGCCGGGCCATCGCAAGAGCGAATGCCCAGAGGAGCTAAGGCGCCACGGAGCAGAGCAGGGGAGGGAGTCTCAGAGGCAGGGAAACGCCAGCAGTCAGTAGAAGTTGGGCCAACTACTGACGAGACTGCCTGCTCGCCCAACCGCACCGACCCTCACCGAGTCACAGTACCGATTCACGCCATCGATCGGGCTCGGATGAATAAGGAGGGTACAACGACGGATTGCCCAGTACTGATCCACGGGAAAATATAGGGAGCAGCAGTGAAGATTTTTATTGACGGAGGAGCAAGCCACAGTTTAGTTAATACCGCAACTGCGCGAAAATTACAACTGACACTTAGTCGCTGCTTACCTGAGATCGACGCACGCTTAGTTGACGGCACGCCGCTGGCCATACGGGAGAAGGTGGAGAGAGTAAAAGTTCGCTGCGGGGGAAACTTCGGGTTTACACAGGAAATGCTCGCGACGACATTGGATGGGCATGATGTTTTACTAGGACGTGATTGGCTACGACGGTACAACCCACGAATCGACTGGACGACGGGTAGCTGCACTATGCGAAGTAGCGGTAACTGGGTCATGCTACCACGCTGGCAGTCGCCCGAGTGTTCAACGGTCCACGTCAACGCCATCACGATGAAACGGGTTGTCGCCGCTGGAGCTGACGTGTACGCAGTAGATATAGCATTAGTAGGAGAAGCGGAGCAGCCGAGCGATTTTCAGAAACTGTTGGCAGCAGTACCGCCCGAACTACAAGAACTGTTGAAACGGTACCCGGGGATTTTTCCAGACGACTTACCGGAAGGGCTGCCACCTCAGCGGGCGCATGATCATAGGATCGAGTTAGAACCGGGGGCACAGCCAACTGTACAGCGCCAGTTCAGACTGACACAGCCCGAGCTCGACGAACTGAGGAAGCAGTTAGATTATTTGTTAGAGAAGCAGTTTATTCGACCAAGTTCGTCACCGTTCGCCGCACCGATACTGTTCACACCGAAAAAAGACGGAGGGTTTCGCATGTGCATCGATTACCGAGCGCTCAACAGGGTAACAGTCAAGTCGCGGTACCCCATTCCCCGCGCCGACGAACTGATCGACCAACTGCGAACAGCACGGGTGTTTTCGAAAATAGACTTACGGGGGGGTTACCATCAGATTCGGGTCGAACCATCGGACTGCGCCAAGACAGCATTTAGGACTAGGTACGGGTCGTTTGAGTACACGGTGATGCCTTTCGGGCTGACCAACGCGCCCGCAACATTTCAGATGACCATGAACGAGGCGTTTAGGCCACTCTTAGATAAATGCGTGATAGTTTACCTCGACGACATCTTCGTCTACAGTCGCGACAAGCAGCAGCATTTAGCGGATCTTGAAGCAGTATTTATAGTTTTAGAGGAACATCGGTTACTGAACAAGGGCTCTAAGTGCGAGTTTTTCCGGGACAGACTAGAATTTTTGGGGCACGTTATTTCGGAGGCTGGAGTTGAAATCGACCCAAAGAAGCTGGATACGGTAAAAGTGTGGCGTCCCCCGACGAACATCACGGAACTGCAGAGTTTTTTAGGGTTCGTTAATTATGTTCGTCGGTTCGTCCCCGACATGGCACAGTTGACTGCCCCGCTGACGGATTTACTGCGAAAGGGGGTCGCTTTTACGTGGGGGAGAAAGAGCATGCTGCCTTCTCTGCCCTGAAAAATGTTCTCCGTTCACCGCCCGTCCTGCGCATCGCCGACCCACACCGCCCCTTCGAGGTTGTTACAGACGCAAGCGACATCGCCATTGGAGCCGTACTGCTACAAGACTTCGGCAACGGCCTACAGCCCATCGCTTACGAGTCACGAAAACTGCATCCGCCCGAGCGAAATTACCCGATACACGACCGCGAAATGCTCGCGATCGTGCATGCATTCAAAGTATGGCGCTGCTACTTGACCGGCGCAGACGTGACAGTACGGACAGACCACCGATCACTACAGTACCTCCGCGCACAGCCCCACCTCAACCCACGACAGATTCGGTGGCTCGATTTCCTCGAGTCAAACTTCCACTACACAGTCACCTATAAAAAAGGAGCCTCGAACATCGCCGACGCACTGACCCGCCCCACTGCCCAGATCCACGCGATACTACTCGCCCAGACCAGCCCGCTACTGACAGGACTATTTACCCACGGATATCAAACGGACCCATTCTTCACAGGAGGAAATTCGCAGCAGTTCGCAGCAGCCAAGGGAGTCTATTACGTAAAAGCCGGGACCGACCGCATCTGGGTACCAGGGTACACACTGCTACGGGAATTACTATTACAGGAGGCACACGACGGGGTTACCTCGGGACATTTCGGGGTAGAGAAAACACGGCAGCAGCTGCAGCAGTATTATTACTGGCCCGAAATGTTGACCGACGTGCAGCGACACGTGGCATCGTGTCCCACTTGCCAGATCATGAAGTCAACACGGAAGCGGCCGGCGGGACAGTTGCAGCCAATCCCACCTCCAGAGCGGGCTTGGCAGCAGGTGACGATGGACTTCGTCACGGGGTTACCGGCCGGGGCGAGTGGGAATGACGCGATCCTGGTCGTCGTCGATCGACTGACGAAAATGGCACACTTCGCAGCCTGCAAAAAATCAATCACAGCCGAAGAAACAGCCCGCCTCTTCATCTCTACCGTCGTTCGACTGCACGGGATACCAGCATCAATCATCAGCGACAGAGACACGAAATTCACCAGCAACTTCTGGCGGAACTTGTGGCAGCAGTTCGGCACGCGACTACAGTTTAGTTCATCGTACCACCCCGAAACAGACGGACAGACAGAACGGACAAATCAGACCATGGAACAGCTCATCCGGGCCACGTGCGACGACCCAAACACGTGGGAACAGCAACTGCCACTCATCGAATTCGCATACAACAACGCCCCATCCGCCACGACCCAACAGTCACCGTTTTACCTGAACTACGGACAAGACCCAACAGTACCCATGACCCCGAATCCCGACAACCCAGTTCCACGCGCGCAACAGTTCGCCGAAATTTTGCAAGCAGCACGGACCAGGGCAGCAGACGCAATTAAAAAGCTAACATCATCGCTAAACGCAATGCCGACCGCCACCGCAGACCTGTCACTTACCAGCCCGACGACTTAGTTTTGCTCGACACCCAAAATCTCCGACTGCCCATCACCCCGAAACTCCACCCCCGATACTGCCGGCCATTTCGCATAAGCCACATGCTTGCACCTGTCACCGCCCACCTCCTCCTCCCTGCTGACTGGTACGTCAGCCCCTCATTCCACGTCAGCCTACTTCGCCCCTACGTCTCGTCCACGAGCCAATTGCCACGCAATCGCCCAGCTAGCATGACAAGACCACCAACCGAACCGATCATCACCCCCGAGAAAATCCTGAGTCACAGAGTTCGCGACCCTCGAGGAGCCCGAAGAATCGAGTTCTTACTCCGCTGGAAGGACCGTACACCCACCGAAGACAATTGGGTTCCCCTGGACAGAATCGAAAACCTCCCCGTCCTCACCGAGTATCTGCGCAGCCAAAATTTCAGGGATGTACACGCACTTTCGTAAGGAGGACCTCCTTAAGGGGGGGGGTAGTGTAAGGAAAATCCCTTTTTTCCTTACTTCGCATCCCTGCTCAACGCGTACATCACTGTAGCACCACAGTCAGCACCGTTACCACTCGCAATCCTCGCATCGACAATCCGCCCGCCACCTTCGCACGTCGCACCCCGACCTCACGGCTCGGCGGGTAACCCGCGCTCCGGGCCTCCGCTTCGACACTTTTCCCAACCTCAGTCCCAGGCCCGTCGCACGACAACCACAGTCCATTACCGTTACCACTGTAGTTTTGCTATATATTCTTCGCTCATGCCTTCGCTCATTGTACTCTTGCTTCGATAGTGCAATTCTCGTTCGTTCACTCAATTGCACTCGTAACAGCGCGACATGAATTCCGAGCGATACTTGCACATGTTCACGTCGTTTCTAGGTGCTTGCCGACCAAACACGTCTGCCCCAACCACCGCAACAATGTTTCCTGCAGGATGTGACAATGCACAAAGACAACACACAGAAGATAGAAAAAAGAATGCACCGTTTGAGGGTATGTTTTCGGGGCCGGGAATATGAAGTGGCACTTCCCTGCTTTCCCTGACTCACCAGTAGCATTTTCTCCCTCCAACATCTCCAGACTGTGCTTGGCACTTTGCCCTGTAAATTCTTTCCCAAAGGTTCACGGAATTTTCTGTGCACGCAGGTTGAGTTGGCGGCAAGGCTTGTGTGGGCTTACGAGCAATGCTCCTGGATTTCACGTCAACACACGCACGGTCGATCCATACGCGGTTGGCGAATCTTGTCTTCAACTCGTGTAGAGTTGGTAATGGCAAGGAGGCGGGTTGTGGTGAGTAAGAGGAGAGGCAATGATTGGGAGAGGCAACGGGGAGATGGAGGGGGTCTGTCTACCAAGAGAACACGGGAACAGCAGGAGAGGATGGGGGAGGGGAGTGAAGGGAAGTTGCAACGATTATCGAAGGGAAGGTGCGCATGCCCCACATGCCCCACATACCCCACCTGCCACCCATGATGCCGCACATGCCCCACATGCCATACGTGCGCCACATCCCCCACTAGCGAGGCAGCCCAACTGGTGAGCGCCCACTCGCCCACCATCAACATCTGCGCGCGCGCACTGCCTGCACTCACCTCTGCTCGCACGCACGTGCTTGCGTTCACCTCTGCTCGCGTCCACGTGCTTGCGCTCACCTCTGCTCGCGCACACGTGCTTGCGTTCACATCTGCTCGCGTGCACGTGCTTGCGCTCAACTCTGCTCGCGCGCACGTGCTTGCGCTCACCTCTGCTCGCGCGCACATGCTTGCGCTCACCTCTGCTCGCGCGCACGTACTTGCGCTCTACTCTGCTCGCGCGCACGTGCTTGGCGCGTGCCGATGATTTCCGCAGCTACTGCAGTGCGCCGATGGCGTACTGCAGATTGCTTCGGGGAGGCGGGGAAGCGGGGCCGGCGGAAGAGGCGAAGGCGTCGGCGGAGGATGATGAGGTGGGTAAGGGGAAAGGTGGGGGGGGGGGAGAAGACGCGGACGAGCGAGCTGTTGCGCGCGAAGTGGCGGCACCTTTGGCGGCGGCGATTGCGGCGGGTTCAACGGTCATCATCCCCCGGCAGGCGGGACGGAGGAGAGGCAGGAAATGAAGACGGAAGGGATATGACGGCGAGAGCAGGAGGGAGTTGATGCGTGCCCCGACGGCGGCATGCCAGCGGCGACAGGCATACAATCGTGACGTGCACGGCGGTTCAGTGGACTGCTCGTCGCCGCGCGAGATCGCTTATGCGACGCTCGACGACGGTGGCGATGGGGACGACCCCGACGAGGTCGAGACGAGCGGCTAGTCGCCCGTCGCTGAAGTGTCGTTGGGGACAGGTGCAAGCGAGTGATAGGCGCTTCGAGAGCGAGTAATTCTAAAGCGAGCACTTCTAGGGTTTCGACTCCTAATCTGGTTCCACAGAAGCAGCGATAGCATCCTCTCAACGTGCCGGCATGTGAGCCGCACTGCACCGCGATTCGCTGGGAAATGGGAGCTCGGGTCGGGTGGTGCTGAGACCAGGGAATGTGCACGTGGGTGCCGAGATCGAGCTGGGGTTCGATAAGGGAAGTTGGACCATCCAGGGTTTTTATTTATAGGATTTACACTAGAAGTGAGTGTACATGTTCTAAGTGTCGAATATACAGATAGTCAAAGCCCTGTAACCATTTCGCCCAAGGCACAGTTAGGACGCGGCACCTGTTTGCATTTTTCAAGGATCGAGGAAGGATCATGGCCTCACATCGATCCTGGCACATCGATCGGCACACCGATGTGCCCACACTGCAAATTTGCTGTGAGGTAGACACATCGAGCTATAGGTGCCAGGGTCGAAATTGCAGGGTCGGGAAGGTTGGATCCACGTCGGATATTTGCGCAGCCAATCAGGGAAAATCTTGGTTGGTCGCTCAGGAATTTCATTCGCAGCGACCTGAAAAAAATTGGCCTGCGACCGTGGACGACGTCGATCGATCGCGGCTGTGACCTGTGGCGTGATGTGCTCTCACACCAACCAAAATGCACTATCGATGTGTGCAACATGGCACATCGATCATGCGAGCTGCAGGTGCCACTAGTTTGGGTACCCATTTACTGTACATTTTCGAGCTCCCGCGAAAAACGGATACCATCGAGCTCCCGCGAAACACGGATACCGAGCACTAGCAATGTCGCAAATACACTGTATAAGCGGCACATCGATCCCCTCCAACGATCGATCCTGCCTAAATGAAAACAGGTGCCGCGTCCTTACGGGGTGAGGAGGACGATGGGTGGGTGGTTCGCGGTGGGCTAGCGAAGAGGGGCTTGACACTGGAAGTTCGCGTGGGGCAAGTCGCCGCCGTGTATGTCGGGACATTTCCTGCGTCTGCGGAAATGCCTGGTGCCACTCAACATCGCGGTCTGGTCCAACATTTTCTGCACATTTTGTTTTCGCATCACTTTCGCTACGGACGTGAGACTTTTGCGATGGATCACGAAGCAAAACCCAGGTGGATGGGGTTGTTCAGGGTGGAGGTGGAGTCGCGTCGCATGTTGAGAATCGTGGGGCGTGATCAAGCATGATGTGTCAAACATTATATGTTTATATTGTGTAGGCTATAGCAAAGTTGTACCCCCTAAGGCTAAACCCACTATAGCCTACACAATATAAACATATAATGTTTGACACACCCCCATAGGCTAAGTGGGAGACAACCAGATGGTCACAAGACCAGTCAAAGCAAAGCAAAGCAAGCTCAGGGTGGATCTCAGGGAAACCACACAAATTCTGAGCACAAGCAAGTGGTCACAAGACCAGTTCATATGCAGGTTGATAATATAACAAGAGATACAGGGATCACAACCTAGCAAGAGCAGGCATGCAGGTATATATATAGAGATCACAGTACAAGCAGAGTCAAGAAGTAAGCAAGTGAGGACCAGTAGGCACAAGGCCTAGAACAGTACAGGAGCGCTGATGGTCACAAGGCTGAAGCGCCTTGGTGAACACATCAGCAGTGTTGGCCCGAGTGGCCACGTAACGCAGACGAAGCTGACCGCGCTGCTGCAGCTCTCGAGCAAGGAAGTAGCGCAGAGCGATATGCTTCGTTCTGTGCTCCAGTCTGTGCTCCTCACACAAGGCAATGGCAGCCTTGTTGTCGACGTACAGCACTGGAGGAGAACGAGGCCGCTCTCCCAAGTCGGTCAGCAGGTAGGTGAGCCAGCGTAACTCCTGTGCAGCCATGGCTGTGGCGTAGATCTCAGCCTCACAACTGGAGCTGAGAACAGAAGACGAGCGTGTAGAACGCCAAGAAACTGAACCAGAGCCAAGGCTGAAGGTGTAACCCTGAGACGACCGCTGAGTAGCCTGGTCGTCAGCCCAAGAAGCGTCTGAGTGCCCAGTGAGTACAACTCGGTCTCGTCCTCCAAGCACTAGCCCCATGCCCGACGTACTGCACAAGTAGCGCAACACCCTCTTAGCGGCATCCATGTGCTCCTTCCGGTGACGGCCAGGAGCGACATAGCGTGCAAGGATGCTAAGAGGGTATGCAAGGTCAGGTTGAGTGCAGGTCATCAGGTACATGAGGCAGCCCACAAGCTCTGGATACGGGCCACTTGGCTCTACGGACTCATCCGAAGGCAGAGCTGAGAGCGAGTGACCGGTAGGCAGAGGAGTGGCCTGAGGCGAGGAGTACGTGAAGCGGAAGCGCTGAAGGACCTGCTGCACCATGTGTGACTGAGTCAAGGTGATGGTGCGGGTGATCCGCAAGCCAAGATAGCTTGTCAGTTCACCCAGGTCTGTGCACGTGTGTCTCTTCTGCAGCTCCAACTTCACGTGGGCGAGTGCCGCAGTGTCAGCAGTGGCAAAGACCAAGTCGTCGACGTACACGAGGATGTAGAACGGCGGCAGCGAAGTGTCGGTGCGTAGAAACAGCGACGGGTCAGCAGTAGAAGGAGCGAACCCAAGAGCCGCAAGTGTAGTCCTCAGTGTGTCGTGCCACTCACGCGGCGCCTGGCGGAGACTGTAGACTGGCCGCCGGAGGCTCCACTGGGTACCAGGAGGGAACGACCCAGTGAAGCCAGGTGGGCGGCGCAGCCAGATCTCCTCGTGCAGGCTGCCCTGTAGGAAAGCAGTGCTGAAGTCAAGAGAGTGGAGCTCGTAGTCACGCTGAGCGGCGACGTGCAGCAGAACCCGAAGAGTGGTCATCTTCGGGGTCGGGGAGAAGGTCTGGAAGAAGTCAACTCCCTCTCGCTGACTGAAGCCTCGTGCAACGTAACGCGCCTTGAAGACAGGCGGAGAACCCGGCGGCCGCTTCACCCTGAAAATCCACATGCCACTGACGATGTTCGCCCCAGGTGGGGGAACCTCGTCGACGTAGGTGCCTGTGGACTTCCAGGAAGCCATCTCTGCGTCCATGGCTGTCTGCCACTGAGAGGAGTACTCACTCGCGATCGCCTCAGCGTAAGAGCGCGGGGTCGGGATGTCTGGAGCATCCGGGTCTCCCTCAGGGGCAACCAGCATGGACACGAGATGAGGTAAAGCAGCGGCAAAGCACTCAAACTCCTCCTGCCTGTCCTCAAGGACGTCCTTGCCAAGAGCACACTCACCCCCGACGGACGGAGGACAGACAGACTCAGACTCAGACTCAGCGACAAGGCTAGCGGCGTAGTCGAGACGACAAGCGGCAGCAAAGTCAACTAACTCAGCGACTAGAGCAGACGCAGCAGAGGACTCAAAGGAAGGGTCAGTGACAACAGTGGCGAGGAGACGCGTGACAGTAGGACTGGCAGCACGAAGGGAGTCAGACTCCGGGTCAGCAAGAGCAGGAAGAGAGGACGCAGGAGGAGACGGCAGGGGGACGCGCTGAGGAGCAGAGGAAGGACGAAGCGCCATCTGGTGAGTGCCTGGGACAGCAGGAGGACGCTGACGAGGGACACGACGACCAGTGTGAGCAGCACGAACAGGCGACGCACGACGAGACTCGGGCGACGCAGGACGAGACTCAGGCTCACGACGCTCTGTAAGACCTCCAGTCGGACCAGTGTAAGGAGAAGGACCAGGGAGTGGTAAGGCAGGAGGTAACTGTGACTGCGACTGGACTGGCGGAAGACACTCTAAGGAGGGAGCAGGACAGGGAGGAGGCGACTGACCAAGAACCTGCTGAAGGAGTGGAACAAAGTACGGCTGCGGCCGCGTAGCGCCGCCAGAACCAGCAGAGAGACCACCAGTAGGCTCAGCTCCAGGGTCTCCAGCTACAGCGCCCGCAGGACCACCAGTAGCTCCAGCAGCGCCAGCACGTCCAGCACCAGCAGCAGCTCCAACTCCAGGGTCCGCAGCACCAGCAGCAGCTCCAACGCCCGGGTCCGCAGCACCAGCAGCAGCTCCAACGCCCGGGTCCTCAGCACCAGCAGCAGCTCCAACTCCAGGGTCCGCAGCACCAGCAGCACCTCCAGTAGTAGCAGCACCTCCAGCAGCCCCAGCACCAGCAGCACCTCCAGCAGCTCCAGCAGCACCAGCAGCACCTCCAGCAGCGTCAGCAGCACCAGCAGCACCTCCAGTAGTAGCAGCACCTCCAGCAGCTCCAGCAGCACCAGCACCAGCAGCACCTCCAGCAGCTCCAGCAGCACCAGCAGCACCGCCAGCAGCAGCACCTCCAGCAGCTCCAGCACCAGCAGCACCTCCAGTAGCGCCAGCAGCACCGCCAGCAGCAGCAGCACCTCCAGCACCAGGGTCCGCGACACTAGGAGCGCCACTCCGGAGACTGCAGCGCCGAGCGTACCACTCTCGGAGCCGCTGGGCAGAGGGCAGCTCCCGCCTAGGAGGGGAAGCACTAGCACCAGCTCCAACAGCACTCCTAGCTCCAGAAGCACCT